TCTTCTTCTTCTTCTTCTTCTTCTTCTTCTTCTTCTTCTTCTTCTTCCTCCTCCTCCTCCTCCTCCTCCTCCTCCTCCTCCTCCTCCTCCTCCTCCTCCTCCTCCTCCTCCTCCTCCTCCTCTTCTCCTCCTCCTCCTCCATCCTCCATTCTCCTTCTTCTTATTTTTGTCTTCCTTTGCTTCTTTTCCTTTGCTTCTGCTGCTCCTTCTCCTCCTCCACCACCTCCTTTCTTCTATATATATAAAAGTGAAATACCAATCACACGTCATCACAAAATCTCCACAACCGTAAAGCCTACAAACTTGACATTTGCCACATCTGTCCCTCTTGGCTTCTAGGTGCTCACTAAGAAAGGATTTTTCAAAATGCCCATCAGAGCATTTAGAGTATTTCCTATATGATTATTATTAACACATTTTGATGCTAAGGAGTTCTACTCCCCCTCCCCACCTGAAAACACAAGCAGAGAAGAGGAGTTTCAGTTTCAGAGCACCAAGCAGCTTTAGTACAGAATAGTTGAGCTAAGCCTCACCCAGGCTCCTTGCTGTCTCCTTGCTCACACAGAAAATACAGTTTCAGTTTCCAAACACCCCTCAACTCTCTCACACACTGACAGGATGCTAGCCAGATGAACACCGATGGATGCTGGTTAGGCAGAGGCAGAATTCCCCCCCTCCCTTATTTTCCTCCCCAAATACTAAGCCCGACCACATAGTTTCGTAGCGAAGCACGGCTATTTGACCTAGTTTTGGATATGATGCAGCCTTGTTATCCCGTGAACCTTTCCACTTTCGTCCTTTTTATATATATATACGTTAGCATCAAAGAAAATACAAGGCCCATCAATGATCAGATACTGAGGGAAATAGTTGGGAATACAGGTCGTCCCCGATTTAACAACTGCTTCATTTAGTGACTAAAGTTACAACGGCACTGAAAAAAGTAACTTATGGCCATTTTTCACACTTACGACAATGGCAGCATCTCCAAGGACACATGATCAAAATTCAGACATGTTTGGCAACTGGCTCATACTTGTGACCGTTGCTATGTCCCAAAGTCATGTGGTCCCCTTTTGCGGCCTTCTGACGAGACAAGTCAATGGTGGAAACCAGATTCACTTAACAACCGTGTTACTATGCTAACAACGGCAGTGATTCTGTCATGCCCTTGTTGGAGTCCGATTCTGTGGGGGAGATTGAACAGCTGACAGGGAGTGGGAGTGTGGCTCTGGTGGCTGTGGAAGAAACGGGGGAAGGGCACAGTCTGGCTGGGCATTCAGAGGAAGACCCAGGGCCAACACCCTCTTCATCCTAGGGCATGCAGGGAGAAACGGATAAGGGAGAAATGTGGCTTACGGGAGAGAAAAGGGCCCTGATCCCTTTCATTAGTTGCAGCTGGGAGAATAGGATATAAGTGGGGCGTTTGCACACGGCTCCTTGCTGGAAGCAAAGCGTGCATTATCTTTGTCGAGACTTATCTGGGTTTTGGCGTCCTCTCAACCGTGGGTGCTGCGTTATCCTTTGAAAGTCTGCAATTTATCATTCTGGCCTGCCATGTTAATTCCTTCAGTGTTAGTTTCTGTTGTTGTTTTTATTTCTAATTATCTTTACTTTGGGTTCGGACTGCATTTCTGCCCTTCGTAGACTGTTTTTTTTTTTGAAGAGTTTGTTATCCAGCCGAGGATAATTGGATATTGGGGGCCAAGTTGGAGGCATTAAAGGGAATTTATTCCATTTTGGTGACTTTGTTATTTTTGTGTCACACCCCAGGTCATTACAGATTCCCTAACAAACGTGGCAAGAAAAGTCATAATAAAATGGGCCAAAATGTAAACTGTCTCACTTAGCAACGGAAATTTCAGGCTCAATTGTGGTTGTAAGTCGAGGACTACTTTGTATTCGGCTTCCGGGGCTCTTTCCTGTTTATCAACTGGTCTTCTTGCAAAGGAGCAAGAATAGCTGACATGATGGGTTGCACCAGTTTTGGTTTGTCTGGGCAGGATGAGAATCCAACAGCTGCCGCTGGAACCAGAATTTCAGTTACTAAGTGAAGCGCACATTAGGGGAAGTCATCACAGGACTGCCCCCGGTTTTGTGATAATTTTTTAACCACAGTCATTAAGTGAATCCATCTTCCCTCATCAGGCTGGGCTTGTCAGAAGCCAGTTGAGAAGATCACAAACCATGATCACATGGCCACACAGGAAACTGCAACCGGTCATAAGTGGGAGCCGTTTGCCAAGGGCCCAAACTGTGAATTCAGCAGGTTCTGACCAGTTCTGGAGAACCGATACTGGACATTTTGAGTAGTTCGGAGAACCGGCCGATCCCACCTCTGACTGGCCCCTCCAACCCCATCTCTTCTCTGCCTCCCACTGAGTCCCACTGATCGGCTGGGTCTCCTTTGGTTGCCCTGCGCAGGAGAACGGAGCTGGAAAGCAGGTTAGTGGGGTGGGGAGGGAATGGGGATTTTGCAGTATCCTTCCCCTGCCACGCCCACCAAGCCACGCGACAGAACGCCATGCCCACCAAGCCACACCCACCAAACCACGCCCACAGCTGATCGGCTGGGTCTCCTTTGATTGCCCTGCGCAGGAGAACGGAGCTGGAAAGCAGGTTAGTGGGGTGGGGAGGGAATGGGGATTTTGCAGTATCCTTCCCCTGCCACGCCCACCAAGCCACGCCCACAGAACGCCATGCCCACCAAGCCACACCCACCAAACCACACCCACAGCTGATCGGCTGAGTCTCCTTTGGTTGCCCTGCACAGGAGAACGGAGCTGGAAAGCAGGTTAGTGGTCTGGGGAGGGAAAGGGGATTTTGCAGTATCCTTCCCCTGCCACGCCCACCAAGCTACACCCACAGAACTGGTAGTAAAAAAATTTGTATCCCACCGTGACCGTTGGAGTGATACAACGGTCATTCATTCGAGGATTTCCGACTCTCTCCGTTGCAGTAGAATAAGGCATTAACATCAAATCACAACTTTTTTTTTTTCATAATAACATGAACAAGCCATTTCTGTAAAGATCTATGAGCTGTGGTGGCGCAGTGGTGAGAACGCAGTACTGCAGGCTATTTCTGCTGACTGCCGGCTGCCTGCAATTGGGCAGTTCGAATCTCACCAGGCTCAAGGTTGGCTCAGCCTTCCCTCCTTCCGAGGTGGGTCAAATGAGGACCCAGATTGTTAGGGGGCAAGAGGCTACCCTGTAAACCACTTAGAGAAGGGTGCAAAGCTCTATGAAGCGGTATTTAAGTCTAAGTGCGATTGCTATTGTTCTCTCTCTCTCTTTCTTTCCCTCCCCCCCTCTCTTTTGCCCTTCCTCTGTCTTTCCCCTCCTCCCTCTCTTTCTCTCTTTCCCTTCTCCCCCCTCCCTCTGTCTCTTTCACTCCCTCTCTCTCTTTCTTTTCCCCCCCGCTCTCTTTCCCTCCCTTCTTCCCTCTTTCTCTCATCTATCTACGGTATCTATCTAAATGCAGTATTGCAGGCTACCTCTTCCAGGTTGACTGAGGCCTCCAGCCTTCCAAGGTGAGTAAAATGAAGACCCAGATGGTTGGGGGCAATAGGCGGACTCTGTAAAACCGCTTAGAGAGGGCTGTGAAAGCACTGTGAAGTGGCATATAAATCTATGTGCTGTTGCTATTGTTCTCTCTCTCTCCCTCTTTCTTTCCCCCCCTCTCTCTTTCCTTCCCTCTGTCTTTCCCCTCCCCCTATCTCCTTCTCTCTTTCCCTTCTCCCCCTCCCTCCCTCCCCCTGTCTCTTTTCCTCTCTCTCCCTTCCTTCCTCTCTTTCCCTCACTCCCTCTCTCTCTCATCTATCTATGGTATCTATTTAAATGCAGTACAGCAGGCTAACTGCCAGGAGTTGATCCTGACCGGCTCAAGGTTGGCTCAGCCTTCCATCCTTCCGAGGTCAGTAAAATGAGGACCCAGATTGTTGGGGGCGAGAGGCTGACTCTGTAAACTGCTTGGAGAGGGCTGTAAAGCACTGCGAAGCGGTACATAAGTCTAAGGGCTGTGGCTATTGCTAAATATTTCATTTAGCAACAGAAATCCCAGGCTCAACGAGGACTACCTATAGCTGATTCACTCCCTGCCTAACCCACCAGATCTGGGTGCTTTTCAGTTGTTTGGTTTCAAACAGTCGCTTTGTCACTGGGACACGTCGTGGCCAGGAAACCGAAGCATTATCTTTTGACTGTTGCGCTGTTGGGGTGGTGCATTCCACACCTTCTCTTGAAAACGGCTGTGTGAGAGAGAGAGAGCTGGGGAGGGGGTTGGTTCCCTCCAGCAAGCAGAAAAGGGCCTCCAAGCAGGAGTTGGAAGTTCTGGCTTGAAGGACGTCTACAAGAAGGTCCAACCTGCGAGAAGAAGATCCATGAGAAACCGTTACGCCCGAGTGAGAAAGACTATAAAAGTTGACTTTGGCTTCCTGCGGTTCTCGAACGAGTGAAGTAAGTTGTCTCTTTGGACACTGCAACTTGGCTGTGTGTCCCCTCTTCTCTTCTTTGAAGGCCCCTTGGTCCGTTTCTACGCCAACGGGGTTGGGTTTGTGATCTTGGAGTCCTAGTGGACAAATCGATGAACTAGGAGCCAGAGTTGCGCTGCAGCTGCCAAAAAAAAAAAGCCAATGCAATCCTAGGCTGCATGAACAGATAGAATCAAGATCGCGGGAAGTTTTAATATCACCTTGATAAGGCCACACTTGGAATAGTTGTCCCCAGCTTTGGTCATCCATTGGCTGAGCAGGGTCAGAATTTAATGCTTCTACCGCAGCTTCTACTTTCTTTTTTGGAAGAGATTGCGAAGACCAGACTCCTCTCTAGAGCACTAAAAATCTCCACAGACCGTTCTCATCCTGGACATTCATATTTTGATCTGTTAGCATCAGGGAGGTGTTATAGGTGTCTTAAAATGAGGACTAATAGATTGAGAAACAGTTTCTTTTCCAAGGCAGTAATTGCCTTGAATCAAACAGGGCATTTGTGATTTAGTCCTAAGTATATAGTGGCATTTTTAAACTATTTAACTTACTAAATGTTTTAGATAGGTTTTAGACTAGGTTTTTTATTATTATTATTATTATTATTATTATTATTATTATTATTATTATT